GCTAAATCCCTAGCCCTGTACCATACTATTTTTATCACAGTATCTCTGTGGTATAATTTCAAGTCAGGGATTGTGATGGTTCCTGCCTTTCCTTTGTTGCCTAGAATTGTTTTTACTATTCTAGATTTCTTCTGGTTCCAAAGGAATTTTAGGAATGTTTTCTCTAGTTCTTTGAGGTATGCTATTGGTATTTTTATTGAGATTGCATTAAGTCTGTATAACAATTTTTGGAGTGTGGCCATTTTTATTATGTTGATTCTTCCCACAAGGAAGGGATAGCTTTCCTTTTCCTTTTTCTTTTCTTGTTTTTTTTTTTTGTACTGGGGATTGAACTCTGATCCTTGAGCTTGTGATGCAGGCAGCAGCACCACTGAGCTAAATTCCTGGTGCTCTTTCCATTTTCTGATGTGCTGTTCCATGTCTTTTTTCATAGTACTGTAGTTTTCAATGTAGAGGACTTATACTTCCTCTATTAGATTGACTTCTAGGTATTTCTCTTTTTTGGATGCTGTTTTTAAGGTGTTTTTTCCCCTAATTTCTCTTAAAGTAAGTTTCTTATTTGTGTACAGGAATGCCGTTGGTTTCTGAGTGTTGACTTTGTATCCAGCTATGCAAGTGAATTTGGTGGTTATTAAATCTAGAAGTCTTGTGATGGTGTAAGATCCTCCCAGGGAGGGATCCCACTACTCTGAGTCCGGGATGCCGTGATGCACCATAAACACCCCGGAGAGACGATTCTTGATGCAAAACACAAGAGGTCTTTATTCCAGCGCGCTGGGGCTCAGCTCATAACCCTCGCAGGGGCAGAGGATTTGAGCCCCGAAGCAGGGAAGATACACAGTTTTTAAAGAAAAAAACCACAAGCTATAGGGGAGGGGGAATTCCGAGAAAGAGGAGGGGGGCTTCGGTGGGGGATCATTTACGGGAATGTTTAGGGCTAGGTCAGGTTGTTCCCGTACCACATGTTTATCGGAAATGTTTAACGTGACCTTCTGGCCTGTCGTAGTTAGCTGACTCTGCTAGGGGTTGGGCTACTGGAGCTCCTTGAAAACTTTCCTAACAATGGAATTTTTGGGGTCTTCTAGTAGAATATCATGTTATCTGCAGATAATGATAATTTACTTTTTCCTTTCCAATCCCTATTCCTTTTATTTCTTTCGTCTAATTGCTGTGGTTAATGGTTCTAGAAGTATTTTGAATAATCGAGTGGTAACAGTGGGCATCGTTGTCTTCATGATTTTAGAGGGAAAGCTTTGTTTTTATACATTTAATATGATGTTAGCTATTGGTTTGTCATAGACTGCTTTTATTAGATTGAGGTAAAGACCATCTATTCCAATTTTCTGTGGGTTTTTTTTTTTTTATCATAAATGGGTTTTGGAATTTGTCAAAACCTTTTTCTGGTTTTTGTCCTTGGCTCTGTCAATTCGATATATTACACTTACTGATTTGTGTATTTTGAGCCATTCCTGCATCCCTAGGATGAATCCTACTTGGTTGTGATGTATGTAATCTTCTTGACGATTTGCTGCATTCTTTTTGCCAGTATCTTATTGAGGATTTGTGTGTCTGTATTCACTAAGGAGATTGGCCTGGAGTTCTCTTTTTTCGTGGGATCTTTCTCTAGTTTTGGTATCAGGGTGCTTCCAGGGATGAATTTGGGAGTAGAAGCAATACTTTAATTTCATTAAAGAATGTGCGAAGTAGTGGCATTAGGTTTTCTCTAAATTCTTGCAGAATTCAGCCATAAATCCCTCAGGGTCTGGGCTTTTCTTTGTTGGTAGGTTTTTAATTACATCTTCAATTTCATTCACTGATACTGATTTATTTAGTTATATATCTTCTTGATTTAGCTTTGGTAATTCATATATATCTAGGAATCATGCATTTCTTCTGTTTTCCATCTTATTAGAATATAAGTTCTCAAAGTAGGTATTGATGATTATTCGGATTTCTACAGGATCTATTTTGATTTTACCCTTTTCATTCTTTTTGTTTGTTTGGTTTTTTGAGACAGGGTCTCACTATGTAGTTGAGACTGACCTGGAACTATGCAGCCCAGGCTGGTCTCGAACTCAAAGTGATCCTCCTGCCTCAGCCTCCTGAGTGCTGGGATTACAGGTGTGTGCCACACGCCTGGCCACCCTTTTCATTCTTAATTGCATGGATTTGTCTTTTCTCTCATCTTTTGATAAGGTTGGCTAAAGGTTTGTCAATTTTATTTAATCTTTCAAAGAACCAATTCTTTGATTCATTGATTCTTTGTCTTAGTCTCCACTGCATTAATATTTGCTCTGATCTTTATAATTTCCTCCCTTGTATGAGCTTTGGGCTTGACTTCTTTTTCTAGAAGCTTGAAGTTCAACATTAGGTTGTTTATTTGAGCTTGCTTTGTTTTTCTGATTCACTGCTATAATTTTCCATCAGAGTACTGCTTTTATTGTGTCCCATAAATTCTGATATGTTATATTGCCATTATCGTTTGATTATAGAAACTGTCTAATTTATTCTTTAATTTCATCTGTGATCCATTGGTTGATCCGAAGGGTGTTATTTAATTTTACTTGTTTATGAAGTTTTTGTGTTTTTTGTTATTTTTTTCCCATTGAATTACAATTTCATTGTACTATGGTTTGATGATATTAATTCCTTTGCATTTAGTTAAGCATGTTCTATGAGATAGTATGTGGTCTGTTTTGGAGAACATCCCGTGTGCAGCTGAGAAGAATGTGTATTCTGATGTTGTGGGGTGGACACTGTAGACATCAACTAAGCCTATGTGTTCGAAACTTTGGTTCAGTTCTGATTTTTTTTGTTATTGATTTTTTTGTCTAGTTGATCTCATTGTGACAGTGGGGTATGGAGAAAGGGGGGGTTTGGGGGAGAAATGTCCACTTCAGAGTGTGTCTGTGCTGTTAATGGTAGGCACAATGGGTAGAGCCCAGATCCATGTATATTAATCACAGCAAGGTAACTGTAGATTTATGGGGGGGTAGTAGATAATCTCAGCAAGCCTGCACCTTTAGTTCTACTGAAGTTCAGGCTGGTTTCTGGCTGTAAGGATGGATCCTGATTTGTTTGCCTGCAATACACCATGTGCCTCTTGCTGGCTTGAATTCGGTTCTACCTCACCCCGACACTGGGAACTGCTAGATGGAGCAAGCCTGTAGCTGCTCTGAGTTAGGAGCTCAGGTGACCCCTCCTCAACATGGCTCCTGGCCAGTTACTCTCTCCTGGGGGATGTCTGGACCTAAATCACCATCCTCTGCAATCTGCTGTGTGCACTGCTCTATTCCATTGGTGTATTTCTTTGTGGGGAGGCCTCTGGGGTCACCAGTAGTCACCCTGTGTCTGTAGGTTCAAGCTCACAAAGTGAGTCAGGACTCAGAGAGAAAATGCCACTTGCCACCTCCTTCTGCATTGATTGAGGTCTCTCTCTTCACTCTTCCCATGGGCTTCAATTCTCACTTGAGATCTTTGCTGAGTCCCAAGGACCCATTTCCTCCCATCTTTTCTTCCTCGTGTTGCTAGATTCCAGTGTCTGGACACCAAATCTTGGAGAGGCTGTTTCTTTGCTGTTCACCACTCTACCATCTTCCTGGAAGTCTCTGTTCTTTTTCAGAATTGTTTTGACTATTCTAATTTCTTTGCACTTCCATTTCTGTATGAACTGATTTCTATAAGAAAGCCTTGCTAACATTTTGACTAGAGTTGTTTTAGAGGTGTAGTTCTCCTAGTCTTTGGAAGCCCTTAGCTGTTAACAATATTAAATCTTCTACCCTTTAGAAAACTGTCATTCCATTTGTTTTTATTTTTATTTTTTTAATTTAATTTAATTTATTTTTTGGTACCGGGGATCAAACACGGGTCCTTGCGCTTGCAAGGCAGGCCACCGAACCGCTGAGCTAAATCCCTGGCCCCTTCCATTTGTTTTTAATTTGTCCTTAATTTTGCTTAGGAATATTTGTATAGTTTTTCAATGTACAGGTCTATTACAACTTTTGTTAGGCTTTTTTTTTTGAGACAGGAACTCACTATAGCCCAGGCTAGTCTTGAACTCACAGCGATCCTCCTGCCTCAGCCTCCAGAGTGCTGGGATTATAGGCGAGCACTACCATGCCCGGCTTAGATTTATTCTTAATGATTAATATTTTTATGGTGGTTGTAAATGATATTTTTCAGGTTAATTAATTTACTTTATTCTTGTGTTACAAACTCTATGTGGAGGACATAGCTGGATGGCTGGTATCAGTCCTCTGCATGGAGATTCTGGTGTCTTTTCCAGATGGTCAGTGAATTTCTGTTGATAGCTATATGTCTTCAAGTGAGCACTGAAAGTAAACTTGTCAAGATTGCCCATGGTGGCCTTGTAGCTCCTGGCTAAAGTGTAGCACACATCAGTATTTGCCATCAGCATCAGTTTCATGGGCTCAGGGGCTGAGACAGTACCAGTGGGTCTAGGAGTAGGGACGAAGTACACAACATTGCAGTACCTTTCAAGGAATAGTTTGAGGTTTTCCAGGGTTGTCCCCCTCACCTCATAATCCTGCTTCACAGGACAGTGGGGAGTTGGTCAGAATGATGGCACTGCAGATGTCAGTGGCTACCTCTATGATGCACTTAACACCCAAATCAATGTGGTATCAGTGATCTGTAGTCTGATAGTGTGCATTTGCTTTTGCACAGACATAAGGCGTATCCTTGGGAAAAAGTCAGTGATCTCAAACTCCTTAATGGGCAGGAAAAAGAGATATAAATCTCCCTTTTGGGGGATAAGAGGACTTGATCTTTATATTCTTGACTTGGCCAAGTCCATTGGTTGATAAATTACTGGTTATGGAAAGAGAAAAGGTTTGTGAAAGTGTTGTGTTGATGTGAAATTATGTTTCAACTGTTAAGTGCTAGTCCTTTTTCAGCCTTCCAGTAGTCTGTCTCAGGTTGCAGTGGAACATTGGTGGGATGATTTTCAGTGTTATGACTTTTGATTTGACTGTTGGCAGGTACTGGAGGCACAGAGAAGGCATCAAAAAGAGAAGTCTGGTATCATACCTACCTCACCAACACCCTACACTTACAACAAGGTAGGTAAAAGATAATTAGCTTCATCCTGAGAACATAACCCTTTTCTTCTTTTGAGGGGTTTGTAGATCTCTGAGAATCAGCCAAGTACAATCTTAATGCTTAATATTCCAGCTCAAAAGACTGGAATCAGCCAGATATGCAGAAAGTTATTTGGAATTCAAGTTTTTGTCTGATAAAATGAGAAATGTTCTTACTTATATAACTTTTGGAGCAGGAACCAAGAGTTATGGCCACCTGTTAGGTTATTTGGCTGGCTGTACAATCTACTGATCACATTAAAAAAGATATAGTTGTCTTATTTTTGGATGTAGAGGCCATTTCTGAGAAACCAAATCTAGCACACTAGTTAATTGTGATACCATTCTTTCTTAGCTCATAAAATACCCAATTTATAACTGTCCTGAAGAAGGATTGTAAATTCACAGTCAGCATAGGCTACATAGCAATACTCTTGTTTCAAAACAAAGACAAAATACGGTTAAAACCTAGTATCCACAATGTCCTGTATACACAGCAGTTGCTCCCACAGCAAGTAACACAGCATGTTACTTGGTACTACGATAGTTTCTCATCTGTTGCCCACATATTGAGCATCTACTTTAAAGCACAAGAGTTTTAAGGATTAGGGCCTTTGGAAACAGGTCCTGGAGTTGCTGAATAAATCAGAAAAAATGATGCTACTTGGAACTTGAGGCAGTATGTGTGACAGAGAAGGACCTGAGGACATTAAACAGGGCGGGAGACCTGCTCCGGCTCCCTTACTCTTTTTTTTTTTTTAAGTACATGTACGCAGTACATAGTGTTAACATTCCTTGTATGGAGTTGATACATGTACATAACACATCTTAATTCCTTTTTTCATCCTCTTCCTCTCCCGTTCTTTTCCTTATGTGGTACTGGAGATCAAACTCAAGGCCTTTGCACTGAGGTATTTTCCAAACCCCTTTGAATTTTTAAAAAATATTTTGAAGCAGGGTCTTGCTAAGTTGTCCAGGCCAGGCTTGAACTGATTCTCCTGCCTCAGCTCCCGGGATACTGGGGTTGCAAGCATGATTAGTTATGCCTGGCTTGATCTTGGTCATTTTAAAGAACTCTTTTCACCTCTGTAATTTTATAATCACATGCATCATAGTATCCACGTTCACTTGTGTGATGCCAAAACATGGGTGAGAGTTCTTGAGACCCTCCACTTTTCAGGCTTCTTTCCAAGAAGCACACAGCTGTAATTGAGCATGTGGTCCCAGGGGCAGGCTCAGTGGGGGTGCCCTTCTCAGGCAGATACCTCTTCTGCCCTACAATCAAACCCATTTTCCAAGGCAGAGAGAGCTACATTTAACTACATTTAGGAATTCTTTCTTTATTATCATGCAGTGATTATAGGTATATAGTCACCTTAAGAACTACTGACATGGTAGTCGATGCTAATTTTCTTTGTTTTATAACATCTTCCCTTAGTGACATAAAGTTTTGCAAATGGGATGAGTCCTTCATGGCCAAAGGAATGTTTTTAGATATCCTGTTCTTCCTTTTAGTGCCTCTCCCTATTCTGTGTCAGACTTTTTTAGACCTTTTCAGAGTAGCTTGTGCTGTGTTATGGGGTCAGTCTGTATGTATCTTAGCGGCTTTTTTCCTGAACTCTACCTATGTTGACACAGTACCTGTTTCATAGCTAGCTGGCTTATGTCTGTTTCTTCTCTGGCTGGAAGCACAGTATCCTACACCTGTACTTAAGGATAAGGATGATATATGAGCTTTGGCTCAAGCATTGAAAAAAAAGGTGACCATTTTACCTCAGATTGACCTTGTGTGATGATTTATACAACATTGGTGGCATATAAAAAAATACAAAGAGGCAGACATGGTGGCACACGCCTCTAATCCCAGCACTTGGGAGACTGAGGCAGAAGGATTGCCAAGAGTTCAAGGCCAGCTTGGGCTACATAGTGAGTTCAAGGCCGACCTGAACTTCTTGACCCTGTCTCAAAGAAAAAAGAAAAAAAAAAAGTGCTGAGCATAGTAGTGCATGCCTATAATATCAGCTGTTTGGTTAAGGCAGGAGGATTGCAAGTTCAATACCTTGTACAACTTAGACCTGTACAACTTGTCTCAGAATAAAAAATAAAAAGGATGTAGCTTAGTGGCAATGGGCTCAGTGATGTCCTGGTTCAATATCACTACCTTCAAAACAGAGATAGGTTAGGTCTCCTAAGATGTCCCGAAATTGTTCTAACTCTTGTAAGTGATTTTTAGTGGAATCTGCCTATGTTAGGGTTATTCCTGAGCTGTATTTTGGGTTCTGGCTATTGAGTAACCATTTTTTTGTTTATTTTCAGAGCTGTGACTTATGGTCCCTAGGGGTGATTATCTATGTGATGCTGTGTGGATACCCTCCTTTTTATTCCAAACATCACAGCCGGACTATCCCTAAGGATATGCGGAGAAAGATTATGACAGGCAGTTTTGAGTTTCCAGAAGAAGAATGGAGTCAGATCTCAGAGATGGCCAAAGATGTTGTGAGGAAGTAAGTCCCTGGGCTGCTAAGTGGGGAGACTAAGAAGGCTTCAAGGGGGTAGGGCCCAAAGAAATGCTGGGTAGAGAGAAGTAATTTATTTCTCTGGTTAGGCTCCTTCTTTTAATATCACAAAAATCATCTCTTTAACCCATTGTGAGAGTCCTCATTGTCCACACTTCAGGAAAAATGGAGCTTTTTTTTCTCTTGTTGCACCCTTAGACTTTGTTCCCAAAATTGGGAACCTGGGTCTCTCTCTAGCAGTGTCTGGGAATTAACTTAGAGCCCTAGGTGACAAACCTTTTGATGTGCCTGTCTTCTTGTGTGTAGGCCAGTCACTGGGGAGGGATGTGTTTCCAGGAACTGAACTGGGGAGCTAAGATTATGATGAAATGTTTAGCTTTTCATTTCTTGGACGCTGTTATAGTGTGTGGTTATATTAGGTCTGGAACCCACTCTCAAGTCTTCCCAAGTGAGAGTTGGTTACTCTGATACCTATTAAACTGAGAAGATTTAGTTAAGAATTTGGGCTAGTGGCCGGGTGTGGTGGCACAGGCCTGTAATCCCAGCACTTGGGAGGCTGAGGCAGGAGGATCACTGTGAGTTCAAAGACCAGCCTGGGTTACACAGTGAGTTCCAGGTCAGTCTCACTACATAGTGAGACCCTGTCTCAAAACAAACAAACAAACAACCCAAGAATTTGGGCTAGTGAATGGATGAGAGAGCATCTTCAAGTCTTGGTATTGGGAGTATTAAATAAACCAGTACTAAATTTGATACACACACACACACACACACACACACACACACATATTTTTTTTGCCTACCTAAGTTGGGCACTATTCTTTTATTCCTACTGCTTGAATTTACTTTATTTGGTCTGTTAAGCATTGAAGGGACAGTACTCAAAAGCTATCTTCTGACATTACAGCTGTTTGTGGAGATTACTCCCTTTCAAAATGAGCTTGTCCTGTTAGAAAAAAGAAACAGGCACTAGAAAGAAGGACTATTTTCTATTTTCTAAAGTATACCAGTAAAAACTTTTAGAGTAGGGACAATGTTTGAATCCCTTAGGTCTTGACATGTCATTTCCATGCTATATGTCCAACCCTTTAAATCTTTAATGTCCTCTGTGATTCTTTGCCAGTTTTCTGTAGAATATATTTCCTGCCCGTAGAGCAATACTCCTTATCTTCCTTTGAATTTGTGATTCTTTTCTAAATCATCTTTGTTTTAGAAATTTGAAGCTATTTGTTCAGAATGGCCCAGAAGTTTGCAGAGTAGCTAAAAGAGCAGTTAGACTCATGGTCCTGACTCTGACACTTGGAATGGGAGGATATATAGTTGGAAGGAGATGGTGCTACAGAGAGCTCAGGGAACATGGTAAGGTGAGTTAGGAATTGTGTTAGCCTGAATGAACAAGAGGTAAAAAAGTTTTACCAAAAAGCAGATGATGAAGAAGCAATATGTTAGGAGAGATGCCAACTCCTTCTGAGACTTGATTTTTAGTTCTTGAATGTATGGAATAAAGAAAGGCACATGTCCTGCTACATGATGGTATGACCCCTCAACTAATTTTGCCACCACTATTAATCAAGAGCACTTTGAATTTCTTTGTAAGTTAGAACCCATTGTTTTAGAAATCTCAATATGGAGATGCAAGGTCTCAGGAACTATAAACCAGTAAGATTACCTTAGCAAACCCTAGAACTCAGTTTGAAATATCACTAGATTAAGCCTTTTTGTACTATTTTTATCTCTGTCTAGAATAGAGTGCACCATCTCAAGCCACAGTATGCTCACAACAAAGGATTGGGGTGTAGAATCCCATTTCTGCTCTACAGGAAGAAGGAATAGGCATGCAGGAATTGTTGGAAAGTCAGAAGCTTAAGGAAAAAAATAAAGTCAAAGGCTAGAGCCAGTGAGAGCCACACCCCAGAACTCCCTGTGCTTCCTTCTTGGGGCATCTGTGCATGGCAGCCTGTTCTTTTCTCCACAGGCTCCTGAAGGTCAAACCAGAGGAAAGACTCACCATTGAGGGAGTGTTGGACCACCCCTGGCTCAACTCTACTGAGGCCCTTGATAATGTGCTACCCTCTGCTCAGCTGATGATGGATAAGGTTTTGAATGATGCTTATTTTGTTGGCTGAAAAGGCTTCATTGAGAAGGAAAGCTGGGGCTTGACTCAGTAAGAGGTTAAAGGCAAAACAATAGAGAACACACTGTCTTTCTCAGAGGAACATTTCTGGTTTCCTGAAAACCAGAAAATAACTTCCTTCCATAAAAAACCAGATCAGAGTCTGGTAAATATGCATTAATGGAATACTCAAAGGAATATCTTCCATATTTATGTTGTGGTTTGGCGGGGGGCACTGAGCGGTGTAAGACACCCTTCCCTTATGGAGAACTGGTAGGAACTTCAGGCCAATATATACAAAGAGGAAACTTTGCAGGTTAAATTTTCTGTGAATGTTATGGGAATTCAGAAAAAGAATTCTTCCAAAAGGGGCATGATTTGCCCAGTGAGAAGACAGAAACCCTCACACTTAACTATCTACTGTGTAGCAGCTTCCAAGCTCTTTTGCAGGGTCAGGCACAAGCTGTCCTGGAGGAATTTCAGTAGACAGTGCAAGTAAGTGCCCATGTGTAATGAAGAATATAAGCAAAAAATGAAAGAGACTAAAATATCCTAAAATAAATTGCCTATTGGAAGGACATCCTGGCCTCACTAATAAACAGTCAATGAGACAAGTATAGCAGGGCCAGACCTTGCAAACAGACAGTGGGCTTAAGTCTTAGTGGGGTGCAGCTGAGAGGCCATGTGAATTTTTGAGAACAGTTTTGCTACTGGGAATGTATTTAGGTAGATCATGGTCAGTCAGACTTGCAGACTTACCAAGTTATTACCTCTGCAGTGGCCTAGAAGTTAAAGGGTGGCTCTGGGGAATAAAGAAATACAGGTAGGTGATAGGCCTAGTATCTGTGATGAAAAATACCTACTGTTTTTTTTGTTTGTTTGTTTTTCGACCGGGGATCGAACTTGGGTCCGTATTCTTGTGAAGCAGGCTGTGAACCACTGAGCTAAATACTTGGTCCTAAAATATCTTTTTGTTTTGTTTTGTTTTTTTGAGACAGGGCCTCACTGTTTAGTTGAGACTGATCTGGAACTCATTATGTAGCCCAGCCTGGTCTTGAATTCACAGCGATCCTTCTACCTTAGTCTCCTGAGTGCTGGGATTACAGGCATGTGCCTCCATGCCCAGCTTAAAATATCTAATTTTTAATGATCAGTAGATGTAAGGAGATAGTGGCTGGTTTAGACAGTGATACGACTGGTAAATAGGGAAACCAGGGAGGAGGCTACTTTGGGTAAGGTAGTCTTATAGGCTTTAGATATTCACTGAGGTAGCAGAGGGATATTGAAACCAATGAGATGTGTACTGTGGGACAAGAGTGTGGCTGAGAGGCCAAGGTAGTGGCACAGACTTGAAGTTAAAGTTTGAGAAAAAAATAGGTAAACAGCAAAAATAAAAGAAAAAAAAGCTAACTTTAGCAGAATAGGAGAAAAAGGAGATCTGCAAGGAACAGAATTCCCTGCCATCTCTTTGATTTTGTGAGTGGTTATTTTCCTTGTTTAAATGTGCTCAGTTTTCCAGAAATGACGTGGCCAATCCAAAGTCCAAGGTAATTTGTAGATCCTGGTTGTCAGACACATGGAGGTTATAGTATAGCATTCCTTAAGGTCTTGGAAATGAAGAAGTAACATTGCTTTTTAGAGTTACTTAAAAAATCAGTATATGATGAAGCAAAGTCTGAATATGCAGAATCTTCTTAAAGATAAAGAGTAGTTCCTAGGCTTAGAGGTGGATGGCACTGTAATGTGACAGAGCACTCTCATTTCTAAAGAAATTATGTGGTCAGGATCTTAAGAAAAAAATGGCTTTGTATCAGATGTCAAGTAGCATCTCTCTAATCCCTGCCTAGGAGGCTGAGAACATGACCTTGAGGTATTTCCTTCTTTTTGGTTCTGCCATTATTGATGCGGAATAGATGGGAGAGTGTAGAAGGGTATAGCCAGGACTGGCTATGGGTACACAGGGCCTTTCAGTGAGCTTGAATTATTCCTAAGCTGACTGCAAGCTCACTAAAGAACTTGCTACTTTTTAAAGTTGTCAAAAGTTCACTACTTTTTTTTTTTTTGAGACAGGGTCTTGCTGTCTCATACTACCAGGCCTCCCAAGTGCTGGGATTACAGGCATGCACCACCACGCCTGGCCTCACTATTTAGTTTGTTGCTGTTGGTACCAGGAATCGAACTTGGGACCTTGCGCTTACAAGGCAGGCAGTGGAACTACTGAGCTAAATCCCTGGCCCATCACTACTTTTTAAAGTTGTCAAATTTTGTTGTTAGAATTCAGATAAAACAGAGGTATTAAAATAAAAATCAAATTCATTCTGCCACAATCTTTTTTATTAAATTTTTTATTTTATCCCACCCCCCCAAAAGCTCTGTTTCCATTTTTTCCTTCTATTTTCACTTTTTTCCTTGTTGATTCCCTTCTTCCTCCCTTCTCCCATTCCCCTTTCCATTTGAATACTTTTTTCCCATTTCCCAATGTCCATTACACATCTCAGTCTGATTTCCACATTGTTTCTCACACCAGAGAAACAATTCAATATTTAAACATGTGTCCAATTTATTTCACTTAAGAGTATGGTCTCAAGGTCCATCCATTTAGCTATCAATGTCTGAAGCTTGTCCTTTTATGGCAGAGTTGTACTCCACACTGTATAAAAAAAAAACCACACTTTTATCCACTCATCAGTTCTGCCACAATCTTAACCCATCAGAGGTGAGGTATGGCTTTATTATCTGTCCTGATACATGTTCACAGTTGGAAAAGGGAACATCTCATTTCTGCAAAACAACCTACTGATTATTTGGCTATCTTGGTCAGCCCATGGTGAGTACACACTCTGGTTATAAAGGCACAGACTCCATGAATGTTATTTCTCATTGTAAATTAACTGACTGGCTTATCCACTGGGATATGGTCTCAGTTCATGAGATTCTGCCTTTGGGCTTGGCCAGGATCAGAGGTTTGTTTGTGGTTTTTTTGTTTTGTTTTGTTTTGTTTACTAGGAATTGAACTCAGGCTCTTGCACTTGCAAGGCAGGCAGCTGCACCACTGAGCTAAATCCCTGGCCCCAGGCTCAGAGTTTTGAACCATCAGGGTTGAGGTAACCATTTACACTGTGGGGGCAGTGAATAAAATGTCAGCCTCTAAAACTTCTTGGGCAGCAGTTGATAGTCCTTTCCCCTGAGGTACTTGCTCTCATCACTAGCTATGAGCACAAGCCTTGTTAGAATTTTGTATATTTTTCTTTGTACTGCCGAGGAGGAAGGCCTAGTGGTTGTGTGGCCTTTGGTTGGTCTAGTGTTCTAGTGTGGCCCTGATGATCCAGGATCTGCTTATCAAAATTTGTATTATCATTAGCATAAGAGTAAAAATGCCTTTTGAATACTTTGGGCTTTTCTTCTTACTTCTTAGATGGTATTTTAGGTACCCAGAAATGAATGTGAAAAACTGATGACAGTGTTTACATTTAGGCGGTGGTTGCAGGAATTCAGCAGGCTCATGCGGAGCAGTTGGCTAACATGAGAATCCAGGATCTGAAAGTCAGCCTCAAACCCCTCCACTCAGTGAACAACCCTATTCTGAGGAAGAGGAAGTTACTTGGGTAACTGAGCTTCTCTCTTTGATTCTCATGACTGGCATGGTTGAGTGCTGGGTGATAAAAGCTCAGCCAGGGTCTATCCTTTTTTTTTTTTTTTTTTTTTAGGATAAGCTCTTTAAATAGTACCAGAAACTATTCACGTTCTATAGTTATTTATCTGAAAACTCTGTTACCTTGTGTTTAGAGTTAATATCTATCCAGAGTTGAGTTTTGAAGTTCTCACTTTGTTGTTACTTCTCCCCTAAACTTTTAAAGCACCAAGCCAAAGGATGGTGTTTACATCCATGACCAGGAGAATGGAGCTGAGGATTCAAACGTTGCCTTGGAAAAGCTTCGAGATGTGATTGCTCAGTGTATTCTCCCCCAGGCTGGTAAAGGTCACACCATTTAGTAATGCTCTGTGTGCCTGTGTGCATGCACGTGTGTATGCATATAACAGAAGGAGTGGTTTGATTTGGACTTGTCTGTCTTTGTGTTACAAGAAAATAAATACATTATATAAATTAATCTATGTCCACTAAAAAGAGTGGACAGTAGGAATTCAGAAATGTGGTAAGTTGTGTTTCTTATGGTTTCCTGTGGGCTTGCCATTTTTAGGTATAGCATGTAATTTTTTGTTATCTTAATTTAACAATGAGGGCACAGAGTGAAGGATGAAGAATGAAAATATAGACAGAGTCAAGATTAGATTGCAGGCTGTGAACATCATGTTCAATCTTTAGAATGCAATACCACATTTAGCTTGTGAATATAAAGAGAACACTATCCTAGTTCAGAATCTGCTTGATGCTGTGTGAGGCATAGGCAGCATGACTTACAGATGGTTCCTTGGGAGTGAGAGAGCTTTCTTTCCATGTGTTCTCGCTCCACTCAAAGGGATGTGATGTGTGGAGCTATTCTCAACTGGTGAATATTATACTTCACACATTAAGCAAAAAATGTCTTACCAGATTCCTTGGTTTTAGGAGAACTTATGTAATATGTCTCAGCCTTTTAAAGCAAAGAATGACCGAGGAGAAAGTTCTTCCCACTCTTGGTGTTGGGATGGCCAGGCATTTTTGCTCAGTGATAGAGTCTGCTAAATCCTATTGCTCATCACCTAATATTAAAGTCTATGAGGCTACTAGAGCATTTATGTGAGTATGTCAGGGTAGAAGAGATCAGTGACCAGAAGTGGTTGATATATAACATAGGGACTAGCAGTAAAGCCAGTGTCTGGTGAAGGTTTGCACATTTAGTTGTCATTTTTCAACTAGTTGGACATCATGTCCTTCCATCTCTGACACTAGAATCCCATGATGCTGCAGGAAAAATGCAACTTCCTCTTCATCCTTACCAATAGGAGAGAATGAAGATGAAAAGCTGAATGAAGTAATGCTGGAGGCCTGGAAGTATAATCGGGAATGCAAACTCCTAAGGGATACCCTGCAAAGCTTCAGCTGGAATGGTAGGGCCCTTAATTTAACACTCCTTTCCTCCAGAAAGCAGACAAGTGATGCTCTTTAGAAAATGTAGGATTTCTTTGGATCCTTAACTGGGGCTGTTTTCAGGTGAAGTGAGGTTAGAGAACAAGTGGGATATTGACGGTGGTGGTGGTGGTGGTGGTGGTGGTGTTAGCCCCACATTAACTTCCCAAGTATATGTGGATATGTGGTCCTTTCACTTGTTTTCCAGAATTCAAATGAAGGGCCGGGGATTTAGCTCAGTGCTTGCAAGCACAAGGTTCTGAGTTCAATCCCCAGTACCAAGAAACAAATAAACAGAATTCAGATGAATTATGCACTGCCGACTCAACACTGGAGAGTCCCTATTACACACTACTTGAGCAAATAAGTCCAAGATCACAGAATTCTTTCCACATAGCTGTATTCACCAGGTCAGTAAGGAAAGGCACACAGTGAAGGGGAGAAAGAAGACAAAGTACCAGGAAGTTCAACCTGCTGATCTGCTAGTAGAAAGGAGCCATTTCACTAAAGAGTAGGAAGTTTGCCAGATCTGCTGCTAGTTGAATTTTTTCCCTAGGCAAACAAGGTAGAGAGATACATTTCCTTTTTTCCCTTTAAATTAGCGTTTTTGGAACTGGTTTTTATACTGTAAGTCCCCAATTTATGAACATTCAAGTTGTGAACCTTCACAGATATGAATGGACCTTGCAATAATGAACATTTATAGAGGTGAATAAGTCATAGAATTAGCTCACGTCTGCTGGACATCGTCACAGTTGTGCTACTCTGTGCTTACTGTACAGTGTGATAGAGTACAGTAGTAATCAGTCCAGAATGTCTAGAACCAAGAGGAAAAGCAGTGGTGATGTGGAGGAGACTACTAGGAAGCACAAAAGTGTAATAAGACTCGTTTGGTCAGACTTACATTCTCTCAGAACAGACCTCATTTATAGGTTGGGGACTTGCTGTATTATCATTCCAATTTAGTACATTACATTAGATGAGCTCCAGGATGTGTAAGGAAGGGAGCAAATTGACTTCATCACTGAATTTATTTCTTGTATGTGCTGCTGGGAAAGCGGTGGGCAGAGGGTGATGCTCCTGCCCATTACCTTGCTTGGAAGAGATTAACTTCCTTGGGGATTTTTTAAATTTGAAATCTATCAGCAATCTAAAAAAAGTGATCACATAAAGTGTGCACTTTCACTGAATTTTCACAAAGTGAATACTCCCCTGTAACCAGCACCTAGTTTATAACATGCTGTCTTCTAAATCATTCTCTCTCTCAACTCAAGGGTAATCACAATCCTGATTTCTAGTACTATATGTTAGTTTTGCCCAGTTTTGTATTTTTTGTTGTTGTTGTTTTTTGAGACAGGGTCTCACTATGTAGTTGAGACTGACCTGGAACTCACTATGTAGCCCAGGCTGGTCTCGAACTCACAGCGATCCTCCTGCCTCAGCCTCCTGAGTGCTGGGATTACAGGCGTGTGCCACCACACTGGGCTCCAGTTATGTATTTTATGTAAATAGAATCAGACAAATCTTTTATCTGGTTGCCTTTAGTCAATATTCTATTTGAGTTCCACCCATACTTGTGTGTAACAGATGATTCTCATTATATTCATATATTATATTTATCCATTGTAATGTTGAATGGATATTTTAGTTGTTTCTAAGTTTTATTAATTAAGAAAAGGGCTGCTATAAACATCTTATCTGTGCTTTTTGATCAACATTCTGAGAACTCATTTCTCTTACATATCTAGATCAGAATTGCTAGTCCATGAAGGTTAATTCATCTGTTTGGCCTTAACAGGCAGTGCCACCAGTTTTTTAAAGTGGTCTTACAAATTAATGAACTCCCACCAGCAGTGTTTGAGGTCTCTAATTATCGTATACCCACACCAACTCCTGCTGTTGTTTAACTATTCTTGTTCCTATGCAGTGGTGATGTTTATTGATCATTTAGATTTCCGCTTTTGTGAGTGCTTATTCAAGTCTTTTACCCACTGAGTGTAGCTTTCTTATATATGTGTTCTTTATATATTTTGCGTATATGTCATCAGACATACATATTTATGTTACTGTAGTGAGTTTTGGGCTTTTATTACCAGCTTAATGAAATGGCTCAATTGCTGCCTGAAAATGGGGGCTCTACATTGCTTTTGGTCATTATCGGGGGGGGGGTCCTACATTGGTAAGAGTTTGAGACTGGACAGGTGTGCCTTGTTAGGTTCCTGTCCAAAGGCCATCACCTCTTAAAAATTTGAGAATTGACCTTGTTTTTTGCTTGAGTTTCAGGTCATGGATTCACAGATAAAGTAGATCGACTAAAACTGGCAGAAATTGTGAAGCAAGTGATAGAAGAGCAAACCACTTCCCATGAATCCCAATAATGACAACTTCAAACTTTGTTTTTTTTAACAATTTGAAAAAATATTGTTTAATGTATAAAGTAATTTTTATGTAAATTAATAAATCATAATTTAATTTCAACATTGTTTAAAGTTGCTATATAGATTTAGGTACAGGATTTACTAATAGTATAATTATTGTTTTTAAGAAAAGCTCAATTCCTAGAAATATACTATTGCTTTAGGACTGTTTAATCTTATATTTGTAAAATGACAGATGGTATTGTCAAACAATATTGATTTATTTGTAATAAAGTATTCAAAAACTTGCCAGAGGTAGATTCAGGACCACCTATAGTGATCTTTCTGCTTCATGAGTAGTCAAATCAAATACTGTGGAATCTGTTTTCACTTGCTCCTGTATTTACTTTCTACTCCATTGGTAGAGTAGCTGGAGTGCCAAGAAATTTCTGTGTGCCCCTCATTAGAGATTACCTGCTGAAATTCACAGGATGCACACTTGGGGGCCCAAGGAGCCAGTTCTGATAATAAAAGGCAGGGAGCTGTGCTGTCATATCTCTTGCGCCTGATTCCCCAGAAAAAAGTGAAAACATTGCCTTTCTATCTTATCTGCTAAAAGGGTATTGATGTATTTCTTAAATCTAATGGGATTTTCTTTTGGGTTTATTCTTTACAGGTTTAATGAGAGCTTCCCTTTCTACTTTCGAGGTCTCACTTGTTACCTCCCTTTCCCCTCATCCCTCACCTGCTCTATCACTTATTTTCCTTTCTCCCCTGCTTCACTTTTTGGAGTGCTTTTCCTGAGAAAGTCATATATATAACAGAAACTACTATTAGATTAGCATGTAAAGTTATTTTGTTTTTTTAGCTAGTCTTTTTCTCTGTAATGTTTCTTCCTGAATTTCTTACTGGCATCTCCTGGGCTGTATTTATCTTCTTCAGTACCCTTTATTTTCAAGAAGCATGGTTCTGGCCCAGAATATAGCTTTTTGACTGAAGAACTCCAGTTTTCTGTTGTACATAAGCAGTATTTGGTAGGTACTCATATTGGTAAATAGAAGAGCTAATAGGCAAACTCCAGTTCATGGTACAGGGTAACAGGATGAGTAGACGGAGTTACTCAGTTTTATACCATCTCTTTAATCAAAGTTGATCCCATAGAACTCACTTCTTTTCTAACTCCTCCAGTTTGGTTAGTATACCCCATATGTGGGAGTGTATGATAAGAACACATGGTGATGGGCCAGGGATTTAGCTCAGTAGCACTGCATCTGCCTTGTAAGTGCAGGATCCTGAGTTCGATCCCTGGTACCAAGGTGGTGGTGGTGGTGGGGTAAAGGGCACATGGTGTTACTGGGCAAGGTGGTACGTTCCTGTAATCCCAGAATTTGGGAGGCTGAGGTAGGAGGATTGCCATGAGTTTGAGGCCACCCTGGGCCACATAGTTTAAGGCCAGAGTAAACTACATAGCAAGATCCTGTCTCAAAACATTATTATACTGATTCCCTTTCACCTTGCAGAATATACGACTCAAGGTATTTTTTTGAGGGAGTCATTAATCTTAGGTGCCTGACAGCTGTTATAAGTGGAAACACTGCAAGAAGAATGGACAGCAAAATCTGAAGCAGTAAAGAAAAAATTTTTACATTTACCAACCAGAAAGCTGAGTTGAATGAAGAGCCAAGTCAGTAAAATGCAATCTTGCAGATCATTTTTTCACAATCAGGGAAAACCCTGCACTTGTTCCTGTAACATATGAACATCTGTAATGTTTCTGTCTTAGGACAGAGGTTCAGGGTTCCATGGGGAGAAGAAGGCAGTAAGTACCTTTGTTACTCTTTTTTTAGAGACCCTTATAGCATACTCAGTGTACAATTAACAGCAAATTTATCATTGGGTGTATTCTAAAGGTTTGGATGATTGTATTTTCTTTGGTGTGAATTTTAGGCATGATGTCAGAGTATCCAACATGATGCTTCCCTTTTAAGCATCACCTGCCCATGTTTCAGTCACTTCAGGCTAAATTCATCTGGCCTCCAAAATGAAAGCTATATCCAGACTTCCAGGAGCATGCTTAAAGTCTGAAAAGCCTGGAGGATGCCCTAGGTGTAACGCAAAAATGGGTCCTATCTTGTATAGTTCCTTGAAAACATAGTACCTCCCAAGAGGCCCCATAAGTGTTGTCTTCATAGTTTTGTTTGTATATTTCTAGGGTAACAGTAAATTCTACTTTAACATGAGTCAGGTTTGCAATAATGCAAAAGCCACACATAACTGGAAATGAAATTATATCTTGTGTTTTATAGCCTGTCTGACCCCCATACCTGTGGAAACACAGAATAGTTTTTACAGCTAGTAGGTTTGAACCTTGTTTTCCAACAATTTGCTGGCCTGTTTATTAAAACTATTACTAGCCACTCAAATACCTTTAGATTTTACCACAGGTACGAGTCTGCTAAATATAGAACGTGTCTTTTGCTGTTATACTGTATGACCATTGAGAATGCCTAACAAATTTATTTTTGAAGCACACATAGGAACTGCTTTTTTAAGAAGTTTATGTTGCTATTTTATTTTATTTTGTTTTTATTAGTCAGGGTCTCACTATGTAGTTCAGACTGGCCTTAAACTCACCGTGTAGCCCAGGCTTGCCTCAAACTTGCAGTGATCCTCCTGTGTCAGCCTCCCAACTGTTGGGATTACAGGCAAGCACCACCATACCCAGCTTTGCTGCTTGTATTTATATAAAAGAACAACTAGAAGTTGACTAGTAGGTACTGTTGATCAAAGAAATCAAAAGATTTAGGTCAGATGTTATGCGTCACTGCACAAATGTATTTATCAAAATTCATTTGAATTTGAGAATTGGATATTTCATTTTAATGATGTATTTTTTAATTTAAAAAGTAGAGTGTTCTCCCATTATTGATTCTTGATATTTTTGTTCTACTAAATGACTTAATCTAATTTTTGCCCTACTTGTTTTGGTTAAACACAGGGAAACACCTTAAAAATCTTTGATAATTTCCAAAATATATAATTTAAAGAGTTTTGCTTTTTACATAAGCCACATTGCTATAAATTTTTAAATGGGTTTATGATAACTGAATTTTTTTGCTAGATGTTAATGAAATATTTCACTATTTGTACCAGGGTAAGCTAAGTATTATTAGGTGGGGATAGATAACGATGTAGCTGAGATCTTTTGATTTCTAAGATACATGTGATTTCTTTTTGAATTACAGCATTTCTCTATTTTCAGGTATTACCAGTCTACCCTGTATTTTTAAAGTTTTATGCTGTAAATATTAGACAATATAAAATTATTTTTATGTAAGATAAAAGAGGTAGACTCTTAGTTAATCTTAGAATGCACAGAAGAATAAATGGGTAGGGAGACTAAATGGGCAGGGCTTTTTTCTTAAAATTTATAACTACCAAAGAAATTAACACCAAAAATCAAATCCAAGAAGTTCCAGACATTATGATTCAATTTTAGTTATAAAAATGAAGAGATTTTTAGAGTTCTTATGTAGCCCATTTTTATTTTCTTGATGAAATAGTAACTAGGAAACTGATTAATCAGTTTGTTTTTATCCCATATTTTATTACATTGAAGCAGTTGAGAACTGAATTTTGATCCCTCATATATTTCCACACTGAAATAAGAATTCATTAACACTTATGTCTGTGCCTTAGGAAAAGTATTTGTAGAGAAGAAATGTATTTATAGGCAAATATGTCTGCACTCATGAACAAAGGATAATGGGGACATCCAAAGGCTATCTATATATAGTTTATCTTAAAGGGAAAAAAGTCATGGACAAAGGAGGTTTGAACCAGGAAACAGTACCTTGATTACTGTACAAAGGAAAAAAAAAAGCAGTGGGTAACAGAGAACTCTGCCTTCCTCAGAGATCCCTAGAGAATTCCTATCCCCCTCCCCTGGCCTCCTTCAGAATGTTGACTTTCAAAGAATGAGCAGATTAATGAATATAAAGAGTCCTGTGACCTGGGGAGAATAAAGAAGAATTTGCCTGCATTAAACTACTGGCTGAATCACTATAGGTCTTCTCTTTGGATCATTTCTCCATGATTATCAAAGTAATTTAACCAAGGAACATTAAAATTGTTGCTGTTAAAATAAATTCCTATATTACCAAAGGTAAGGAGAGAACCAAGAATAGAAACAGCCTGAAGGCCCTAAGATTCATAATTGGACAGCAACCAACCCTGAGGGGACCAGCATAGATCTGGAGAGAACACCTGAGTGACCATCCAATATCAGGGCAGCTGCTAATAGACATAGACCTGCCATCAACTGATTTATTCAGACCACATCACTGGCAGCATCACCGAGAGACCATCACGATCCTACTTTGTTTACGTAAAAAGCAAGTAGACTTGGAGGAAGTTAAGATAAAGTTTGAGATTTGGGATGCCCAAATGTGGAACCAGAGGCTAAGGTCAGTACCAAGACATTCATGTTTTGTGTTAGGGATTTTCATGCTGTTGGTAATGTTTCTGCCCAGCATGTACTGTTTAGGACGAGGACATTACTCTTCCTATGAAATAGTGATCCCCAAGAGTCTGACAGTCAAGGGAACTGAAGACCCAGCGGAAAAGACATCTTACACGCTACTTATGCAAGGCCGGAAGCAGCGGGTTCACCTGAAGGTGAGGAGAGACTATTTTGTGCATGACTTTCCAGTCTACAGTTACCACAACGGCATCCTGGGACAAGAAATTCCTTCCATCTCACATGACTGTCACTATGAAGGCTACATAGAAGGAGTGCCGGGTTCTTTTGTTTCTGTCAACACCTGTTCAGGTCTCAGGGGCATCCTGATTAAGGAGCAAACATCCTACGTCATCGAGCCCATACTCTCTTCCAAACGGTTTGAACATGCGTTATACAGCGTGGCACAGCAAGCTCCAGTCTCCTGCAGCATCTCTCCCAGAGACAGCCAAGCGGTATCCACCAGCCAGCAGCAAGAGAGCAGGAAGCCTCACGATCTACAGGCACTGTCCTACTTGTGGTCACGCACCAAGTACGTGGAGATGTTTGTTGTGGTCAACAACCAGCGGTTCCAGATGTGGGGCAGCGACGTCAACGAGACAGTGCAGAGAGTAGTGGACGTCGTTGCTCTGGCCAACGTCTTTACTCGAGGAATAAACACAGAGGTGGTGCTGGCTGGGATGGAGATTTGGACCGAGGGGGACCTGACAGAGGTCCCAGGGGACCTGCAAGTTACACTCAGGAATTTCAATAGCTGGAGACAAGGGGAGCTCCTCCCTCGTGTGAGGCACGATGTTGCCCACATGATCGTTGGGCATCATCCTGGAGGGACCTGGGGCCAGGCATTTCTCAGTGGAGCCTGTACAAGTGGTTTTGCGGCGGCTGTCGAAGCTTTCCATCATGAAGATGCCCTCCTGTTTGCAGCGCTCATGGTCCACCAGCTGGGGCACAACCTGGGTATTCAGCACGACCACTCCGCCTGCGTTTGTAAAGGTAGGCACTTTTGCCTCATGCATGAAACTGTCACTAAAGAAAGTGGCTTCAGCAACTGCAGCTCTGACTACTTGTACCGCTTCCTTCATGAACACAAAGGGGCCTGCCTATTTAACAAGCCACGGCACAAAAGCCGCGGGCGCAGGGACGCCAATTGTGGAAATGGTGAGGTGGAGGCCCCGGAGGAGTGTGACTGTGGTTCTGCTTGTGACGGTGACCCATGCTGTGAACCAACGTGTAAACTGAAGGAGAATGCACAGTGTAGTCGTGGACTCTGTTGTGATAAGTGCAGTTTCAAAAAGGAGGGGGTGGTATGTCGTTTTGCTCACCGTGAGTGTGACCTCTCAGAATACTGCGATGGGAATTCTGCAGAATGTCCTGAAGACAGTTACAAACAAGATGGCACGTTGTGTGATAGAATTTACTATTGCTTTGAGGGTCAGTGTAGGTACCCTGACTTGCAGTGTCTGAATCTATATGGGTACCCTGCAAGGTCTGCCCCAGAGGCCTGTTACTTGTCAATGAACAGCAAAGCACACCAGTTTGGAAACTGTGGCCATCCCACTGAGAATGCAGCATATATTAATTGTACCGGTGATGATATATTTTGTGGAAAACTTATATGTACAGATGTTCAAGCCCTGCCACGGAGGATGTCGCATTATACGCTGATCCAGGTTGCCCATGGAGATGACTGGTGCTGGAGCATGGACGCCTATAACACTACCGATGATGATGTGGAACACGGCAGTTACTGTGCCCCAAACAAAATTTGCGATGGTTACGTCTGCACTGAATATTCTGTGCTCCACCATGACTGCGATTCAGAGTTACTGTGTCATGGGAATGGAGTGTGCAACAATTTAAGACACTGCCATTGTAACGACGGATTTGCACCCCCTGACTGTAGATATCCAGGATATGGGGGTAGTGTGGACAGTGGTCCTGTTGTTAAGGTACCTGAAATACCTTTAAGTACAAATAGCCCTCATTTTACTATGAAGACTAGAAATTTGAACTTCAGAGTGATAATAATCATAGTCCCTCTATTTCTTATCCTTTTACTGTGTTCTCTACTTGTAATTGCTTACCTCTGGTCTGAAGTAGAGGAGGTGGTGGCATCAGAGAAGTCCGAGGAATCGGAATATTCTTCAGAAATCCCATCAGAGGTGTCAGCTGAGGTCCCACCACCCGAGGCTGCCCCACCACCCGAGGCCGCCCCACCACCTGAGGCTGCCCCACCACCTGAGGCTGCCCCTCTGCCCAAAGCAGTACCACCACCCACATAAGCTCTGCCTCCCAAAGCCCCAGAAAAGCCTGCACCAAAAAAGGAAGCAAGTAAAGGGCATGAAAACGTAGAGTCAGAATTTTAATGGAGGATAAAGCCAAATACAATAAAACACCTCAGAGAACCAAATGTGAAGTAACTATTTACATCTGTAGTGGCTTTGACTGGACTGTATCATACTAACGTGAAGAAGAGATTATTCCGCTTTTAATATATGTTGAAATATATAACTATAAGTTGGTTATATTTTCATATATGAAATCATACATAAAACATTTTATATTGTTGCTTTTTTACTTTCCATGAAACAATTTTATTTAAGCTATTTTCATGGGTCATTCATTGCTATCAATGTTTTGTATGAATAGGGTCAATTTTGAGCCACCTAAAACTGATCTTCAGAGTATGCCATCTTCTTGGGCCAGGATTTAGCTCCGTGGCACCACACCTGCCTCACAAGTGTAAGGTCCTGAGTTCGATTCCTGGTACCAAAAAAAAATGGTATGCCATCTGCATTATCTGACATAATGTATTATCTGTACCTATACTGCTATAACTGAGTTACTCATCCCAGTTATAATTACAGTTTTGTTACCAATGTTACTCATATTCTAAATGCACTATTTTGCTCTGTTGGTTTCTGTTCATGAAATGTCAGTAATTTTTAAATAATTAAAAGGCTTTTTTGCAGGTGAGGTAACATTCCAGACTCCAAGCAGCCTCGTCCTTGAGGCTTCATTTTGGGTTCCCTGTAAGGGGTTAGATCTGATCTATGGATATGTAACACGCCCAGTCTGAATGCCTGGGGAAGGGCAGCTAAATAGGCAAGAAACTCCTGGCAATGTGCTGAGTTCAGGTTTGAAGTATTCATTTGATTTTCCCTTAGTTTTTTCTATTGAATTTGATATTTTGTTTACTTATAAATATTGATAGAAACATCTCCATATTTAACAGAACTTTGAGGTAGTGGTTACTTCTCTATAAAGCAAGCATAGGGCAAGTATAATATTACTTTTTCTGTGCCAGGCACTATACTAAATACTTTACATTTAAAGTCTTGATCTTCCTAAGTTCTTCATGAAAACTCCACCTTGTATATGAGAAAAGACAGGCAAAAGAGCTAGCTGGGCATGGTGTCATATACTTGTGATCCCAGCACTCAGGAGGCTGAGGTAGAGGGATCATTGTGAGTTCAAGGCCAGACTGGGCTATATTTTTAATTGCCCAGAATATGGCCTCTTTCTTAGTGATGACTGAAACAAAAGCCTTACAAGTAGACACTGACTTCTACCAAGAAACTCCTGCATTGCGCAGCAATCATGGATTAAAGTGGCACCATGCCTGCCTCACAAGTACAAGGTCCTGAGTTTGATCCCTGGCACTGACAACAACGACAACAAAAAAGTGGGCAATTAATTATCGAAGCAGTGATCCCTTAGCAATTCATGTGATCTGTCAAGAAAGAGATGTTGGGAGATTTAGGAAGTAGGTGAAATGATAGTGGTAGCAGTGAAAACAATCTGGAATCTAGATTTTGTGAGGAGAGCCAAGAGGACTTGCTGATTGATAGAGCAGATGTACAGTTGTGATGGAAAAGCAGCAGAGAAGGCTGGTTCTAGCACTCTGTTCTGGGCAACTACAACAATGGTGTTACCACTTACTGAGATGGAGGTGAGTGTGGGAAGCACAGTCTTAGGTGTATTTATGTGCGATGCTTGCTGCACACTCACTGAGCACGTTCTCCAGGCAGTGAGATGAATGGGTCAGGAGTTCAGGAGATGAGTCAGCCAGAGTGAATTCGAGAGCTTTTCATGTGTGCCTGATATTTCAAGCAAGGGGACTGGATGATATTGCCTAGAGACCAAGTATAGCTAGAGAAGGGGTCTGAGGACTGGGTGAGGACTTAGCTCTTGCGATGTTCTATGTGTACATGTTTCTAAGATTCTGGAAGGAGGTCAGAGAGGGCATGTCTAGGGAAGCAAGTATAATACTAAGGGAGAGCTCTGTTCTGAAAACTGAGAGAAGAAAGTCTCTCCAGTCCACTGGCGAATTCGCTTGACTCCATGTTCAACACATATCTATAAAGTGATCTTCTGTCAGCATCCTCAACTCTCTAAAGCAGTGCAGGTCACTATCAACTCCCTCCTAAAAAGCTGCATAAATCATTCACTGGTTTCTGCCCTGACTCCCTTAGAAGCCTGTTCTTTACTCAGTACGCAGAGAGATTCTTTTAAAATGTAAGCCAGATTACTGATGAACTTGGAGTTCATCCAGACTAATATTCAGGGAAATGAAAAGTATATCACTACATAGCACAACCTTAGAAAAATGTAAGACTCACAACACCAAGCATTATTAAGAATATATAGCGGCCAGGCATAGTAGCGCATTCCTGTAATCCCAGCACTCGGGAGGCTGAGGCAGGAGGATTGCTGTGAGTACCAGACCAGCCTGGGCTACATAGTGAGTTCCAGGTCAGTCTCAACTACATAGTGAGACCCTGTCTCAAGAAAAAAAAAAAAAAAAAGAATATATAGCATTAGAGATTCCTATCCTACTTTGGGAAGTCCCAACTATAGTGAGACCCTGTCTCAAAAAAAAAAAAAAAAAAAAGAATATATAGCATTAGAGATTCCTATCCTACTTTGGGACTAAACCGGCACATCATTTTGAAATACAGCTTGTTATTTTCTAGTCAAATTTACACTTTGCCTGTCTCATGACCTACCATTCTACTTCCATGTATATATCCTAGAATCCATGTACATCTGCTATGGACATTATTCATAGTATTTCCTAAAAGAATATAGATAGTAAAATCGTTAGTGAATTGTGAGATATTTACACAGAAATATTGCTGTAGAACAATGGAAAGAAATGTACTATGGCTTCACACAATAATATGGAGGAAAACAAATACAAAAAAAGCCATATATAAAGTTTTTTGTATTATAAAAGTCTAAAGACAGGTAAAATAAAATTATATGTTATAAGTTGTGTATTTAGAAGGCAAACTAAGAAGCATTAAGAAAATGGTTACCACAAAAGACAAGATCATGGTTCTCTCTGTACAAGGAGTGATGTGTACATCTGAAAAAGTTAAAGTGTTAATTACTTGATGAAAATTATGGTTACACAGATCTTCCATTTTAATAATTCTCTGAAATGTACACCTATGTTTCCAAATGCACTTTTCAGCGAAAGTGCCATATTTCACAATTTAAAGAGTGTTACATGGGGAAGAAGACAACTCCTTCAGCATCCTGCAGCTTCAGGACCAGGCACAGCTACGGCTCAAGTCCACCTGTGGTGAACTCTAGGAAAGGTCTTTTCCCCTAGCCCACAGCCTTGGGAATATAGCAACTGGTACAAAGTCTGGACCTCACTTGCACCTGTCCTTTGAGACCTGGGAAAAGCCCCAGCTCTTCCCATTTCCCATAGTTTCAGAAGCGTGGCTTCTAGCAGCCCCCATCCCTGGAAATACCTGCACTCACTCGGGGGGAAAGGTCTCCTCTTCAACCCACAGTCTTGGGACTGTGGTTGCTGTTCCCAAAAAAGTCCAGTATGACCTGTGCCTATCCCTTGGCACTGGGGAAGGTCCCAAGTATGTAACCCAGTTCCAAAAAAGGAGCTATCAGCGACACAAACCCTAGCACGACCTGTGATCACTTGGCAAAACTAGGGAAGTCCTCTCCTCAGTCCACAGCCTTCAGAGTGCAACTGCTTATCCAAAAAGCCCCAGGATCCTGCAAGCCTCTGCCTAGGGACCAGGGAAAAGTCTCATTTGCATCCTGTAACTCCAGGATCATGACTAACAATAAGTCTTGGTTCCATCAGAACTTGCCCTGCGTGATCTGGTGACATTCTCATCCATGTCCTGCAACTCTAGGACTGCAGATAACAGAGCCACAAGCACTGTTACCAGCTGTATTCAACCAAGAGAGTATAGGGGAGATCTCCACGTGGTACATCTCTACAGTTGTGGACACCAGTACCATAAGCCTAAATGTTCACTGCAGGTCGGGGGAACCTAGGGAAGGTCTCCATGGCCTACAGACTTGTGACCATAAATGCTTGTGCCAAAAGCCCTGGTTATTATTTGGGCTTTTCCCTTGTGAACTAGAGAAGGTGGGTTCCACGGCACTAGGAAAGTGGCTAACAGCACCACAGCCCCCACTATCACCCAAACTTACCCCATGGGACCTAGGGAAAATCTGCTTTGTGTTCCATAACCTTAAGTCCATGGTTACTGGTGCCATTGACCCCAGCATCATCTGTGCTTATTCTGCAGAACCTGGAGAAGATTCCATCCAATTCTGTGGCTCCAGAACTATAGCTGGTGGTTCAACAGGCCCAGGCACCTCCTGCATTCACCTTTAGTGCCCCAAAGAAGGTTTCTTTTACATTCTATGGTTTACAATCTGTGATGGCTGATGCCAAACACTTTGTGTTACCTGTGCTTGATCCAAGGGATCTGGGACAGTTCTTTCCACATTTTGTACCTCCAAGCTTGTGGCAGCTGCGACCATAAACACTAGTGCTATCAGTGTTCCACCGTGTGGAACCTAAGGACATGCAACTTTGGAAGGCTCTGTTTACTGTGAAGTTGTATAACTATATTCAGGAACTGCTGCACTCTACACTATTGAGACATTCATTAACACTGCTGACATCAATCAAAACCAAAGAAATCATATAGAAGCAACACTTTTGAGCTTACCTATAACTGAAGCCAAAGTGCCTACCTTACAGAATCCTATATCTTGTCTAAGGATAAATGTATTTTTCTACAATAGCTACTCCATAAAATTGGAAGAGACAACCACTACAATACTTGTAATACTAGTGCAGACATCAATGTAGTGACATAAGAAACATGAAAGGAAATATGACACAGTCAAAGGAAAACAATAATTCTCCAGAAATAGGTCACAGTTTGAAGGAAATCTATGAAATCCCTGAAGAATTCAAAATAATCATTCTTAGGACACTCAGAGAGTTGCAGGAGTATACAAATAAACTATACAAATAAAATAAGAATTACTATTCAGGATACGTATAAGCAACTGACCAAAAAGACAGAACCCATAAGAAAGAATCAATCTGGATATAGTAGTATACGCCTGTAATCCTAGCTACTTGGGAGGCTGAGGTATGAGGATTGTAAGTTTGAGGCCAACCTGGGTAACACAGTGAGACCCTGTCTCAAAATAAAATTAAAATACTGAGGATACAATTCAGTGGCAGA